TGTTTCATACAAATAAACGTAAAACTTTTGCAGGCAACGAAGCATATTGTAGAATTTAAACACCATGAATTCTTGAATGTGATGACAAGTGGTGATCATAATTGCTCTGGAAGATTTAAGATTTATTTGTATATGTGTGAACCTTAATTGTATAAGATTAAAAAAAAATAGTAATATTATGTATTAATATTTTGTTATTTCGATTAAATATTAAATGTTAAGTTTAACTATGAATATACGCACGGGTTTAAATCTAGTTTATAGTTGGAGGATTAAAAGGATAAGGTTTTAATAAACTTATCTTCTTATCTAATAAGATTTTCTCTAAATCCCTTTGATTATTTTCCTAACATAAACACATCAAGTAACTTGACGACAATTTTTATTTTACAACACTTGACCAAAAACTCAAAAAAGTGATTAGATCAATTAATAAATAACCAAGGTCTTGTGTTTGAAACTTAAGTACGCAATAACATTTATTGGAAGAGCTTTCTCCTAATTGTAGCGTGAAAGCATCCACAATGTTATAAAATAGGTGCTTATTTACAAGTTTTAAATACTCTCTCGTCCCTTTATTTATACCCCATTTGCTTAAAATGGATGTCCCTTAATTTTCGCCCTATGTCTATTTTTGGAAATGGCTTGGTTTCCACTAATTAACAATGTCTATTACTCCATCCGTCTCTAATTTTTTTCCCTATTTGAGTTTTCACGTTGGTTAAGACATATCTTAAAACATATTTATCTCCATTTTCATAAGCATAAAGAAAAATTACAAAAAATTGATAACATGTACAATGAGACGAATTCAATAAAATTTCACATAACTATATTATCTCTTACGAGTATAAATTATCAATGGGGCCAAAAAGGGGGGGGGGGGACGAAGGGACTACTTGTTAAAATTTTTAAACCCACCAACTTTACTCCCTAATTCTAACCCCCTCTCTCTCCTCCCTTCCTTCCCCTTTCCATGGAAGCTCTGAGCTTGCTCTTGAAAAATCCATCACCCACCACGGCACCACCGCCATAACTTCTATATCAAAAAATTAACCGACCCGCCATCAGCCACCACCTACCACTGCCACAAGAGTTAGTATTATATACTCCTGGAGTACTGAGGATTATGGTACTCCATACCCAATATGCTTATGTTATTTGCTTAAACTTTATGTTATTTTGCTTAATTCCTGTGTTATTTTGCTAAAACAATATGTTATTTACTTATTTTTTGCTAAAACAATATGATAAAAATTGATAATTTTTTGTATTCAAAACCAACTTATTTGTATTGTCACTTCTTTTACAAAATTAAATATTACAGGAAAATTATTGTTAATTGTATGGAATATTCAAATTAACACCAGAGCTTTATACAGTGAAATGATCGATGTTGAATATAAAAAACAGCATTGCTTGTATAAAATAACATGTACTTGTTTAAAAATAACATGTACTCCCTCCGTCCCAATATATAGTTCTTGCTTGTGTTTTTTCACGGTATTTAAGAAATGAGAGTAGAAAGTGGATGAACTACATTAAAAAAAGGTGAAAAGTACAATAATAGGCAAAAGTTAGAGAGAGAAAGTGGAAAAATGTACAAAGCAAGTGAAAATTTATGGGTAATTTAGGAATTACAATGAATAAAATTAAAAAAAATGAGGGTATAATGTCTTTACATTCTATCCAAAAATAGAAATAGGAGCAACATTTTGGTTCTCCAAAATAGGAAAACAATAACTACAATATGGGACGGAGGGAGTATATAAATTAAAATAACATGAATTTTATAAACCTGAAGTAAATGATCGATGTTGAATATAAAAAAACAGTATGCATGTATAGAATAACATGTACTTATTTAAAAATAACATATACTTCGTATACAAATTGAAATAATAAGAAGTTCACATCAAGATAACATGAACTTTATAAACCTGGAGTACCTAATGCAGGAGTAACATAGAAATTACGAGAGGGAGGTGGTATGTTAGTGTCTGCACGTTCATCTTCTGGGCAGTGAAGAAATTAAATAAATGCAGGCGCACGCCACACCGGAAGTTCCTTCTTGGAGGCTTCCGGTTTTTATAACAGGTTACACTTCAGAGAATAATATGATATGATACAATACAATACGATACAATTATATGATATGATATGGTATGATTAGTTAAATTTTAGGTAGTTATTTTAACAAGTTGGATTCTGTACAACTTCCAGGCATTGTAATTTTTTGCTGAAAATTATGTCAGTGGAAAATAGCATATATGTTCATTTGACATTGATTAATACTGATACTTATTGCCATATTGGTTTCAAGAAAAGATTATTATTGGAATTTGTTTTACTTTTGAATCAATTCGCTATTTAATTTATTTTAATTTGCATTCATCGACTTGTGCTTGTTTCTCACTACTTCGCTCATTACGGCTATTCATTAATAGGATTATAGGATATTAATTATAGTCTTTCGTGTTTCATGGGAGGTTGTTAGTGATGGCTCTGCTTTGAAGCCCTAGAGTGAATGCTATCTGTCTATGGTTTGGTCTCTTACTCTTTATGTTTTTCAATGGTGTCTGGACTAATAATCCTTCTTTATTGATAAGGCGAAATAGAAATACCTATTGCTTCAAATTAGAAAGCATCCAAGCTTGATGCTAGAAACTTGTTATACTTGCCTATAACCATAGATGAAGTAGTTGATCACGAGCTCAGCCTTATAGCTAGTCTCCTGGAATTGACCACCGATCAAAGCTTAAATTGTCAAAAATAATACAAACTTCCACCTGTCTGCTAGAAACAAGTCGAACTTTCGATTTTTTCTAAATAATACAAACTTTAGAGGGTATCTGATTTGAACAAGTTATGACCGGTTAGTGACTTGATTAATAGGTACATGAGACATGTGTCATTCTTTTATTGGTTTGATAATTTAATTTATTTATTTAATGATTTTTTTCTTTTTTTTAAAAAAAAATAAATATTGTTATTATTATTTTTTTTTAAAAAAAACCCTCCCCACCAGCCACCCCTTCCCCGCACCGGCAAACCTACTTCCGGCATCCCCACCCTTCCCCCTCCCTTCCCCACCCACCACAAAAACCCACGAAATTCCTCTCCCTCCCTAAGAAAACCCACAAAAACCCCAAATTTCCCCTTCGCCCACCGCGAAACCTTACCGGTTAAGGTTTTTGAGGCTGGTGAAGGGGCAATTGGGGGTTTTCGTAGGGCAAGAGGGGGATTTCGTGGAGAGGGAGAGAGATTTGGGGAATTGAAGGGGGGGGGGGGTTAGGGATGCCGGAAATGAAGTCGCCGGCGCATGGGAGGGGTTGAGGCGCTGACAGAGGATCGCCGGAGGGTCGGGCATTGCCGGGGAAGGAGATGGGAAGGGAGTGGTGGCTGGCGGTGGGGAGAAGTACTTTTTTTTTTGTTAATTAACTATGGTTTAAGTTTTAATTATGAGTTAATTAAATTGTTAAAAGAATTTATAAAAATAAAAAAAAGTTTACCGGTCATTTAGGTTGTAGGTAAAGTGTCTCATTTAAAGCGGATACCCTCTAAAGTTTATATTATACAGAAAAAATCGAAAGTTCGATTTGTTTTTAGCGGATGGGTGAAAGTTTGTATTATTTTTGACAATTTTTCATTTTATTTAATTGTTAAGATTGATATGACTAAGCATGTGACTTCAATTGATCCTCGATCATATTTATGTTAATCGTATTCAATTTACAAACTCTAGCTATGAAACGTGCAACAATTACCTACCACTCGTTAAAAAAAAATATTAAAAAAAAAAAATACACCTAGCACTAGAGGGGTTAAACTTACTTGATTCGAAGTTTATCCAAAATGTAATAATTTACCCAAATCGAATTAGACTTAACCCAAATTCAATTTGTACTCGATCATATTCGGACCCAACACTTACCCAAATTAATTTATGTAAAACCAATTTGACACTTCTATCACTCTATGGCTCTACCTAGCACAGTAGCAGTCGGTCACAATACATGAATAAATTTAAATTTTTTATTCTATATAAACAAAAATATAATACCCGACAATAGTCTTATATCATTAAGTAGTATAGATTTATTACATTAAATTAGTTTAGTTGTAAAATTGTAGTCTTGTAAATATAAATGATACTCGTATAATTTAGTAGTAGACTAGTAGGTACGAGCGTACGACTATACGAGCATAGTTGCATAAGAGTGATAAGACAACCTATGAAGTGAGCTAGACTAGAGAGTAGAGATTGAACTATTAACACATAATTTTAATAACCAAATACAATTGAGCTTAAGTTGGCTTTGGCATCATAAAAATAAGTTTAAAATCAAACGAATCATGTTATAGCAAATACTTGATCGAATTGGTTACAAATGTTCACGAGCAGTTATAACTCTATTATACTAGTAGCTACAATAGCTAGTAATAGTAATTTAGGAAAAATGATGTATGTAGAAAGATAAAATTCTCCAACCATTTACCGATTTGAGTTTCACCCAAAGTAGTGTCACGAAAGTAACGACATGAATGTGACCTAACCCAAACATAACCCGACTTAAATTTGATCCGACTCGAACTTGACCCAACGTTTGGACCCATAAATTGACTCGACTCAAACTGATCAAGCCCGAACTAACTCGACCCAAAACAACCCGCCCCGACCCGATTATCTGTTGACTTGAAACTTGAAATGACCCAACTCGATTTTTATTGACTTGAACTTGACTCGGCCCGAAACAACTTGACATGTACCCAGCCCGAACAACCTGTTTGCCACCTCTATTTGTTAGTATTGCAGCTATAGACCGTCAAATTGCAGACTATGTAAACATTGATCTTGATTTAGACGCTAAATTTTCTTATATAATTTGTTTAGATAAATTAGGATACAATTTTAAGAGAAGACTTACCTGACTTTTGTATCCAATAAGGGAAATAGTGAGATTAAAGAACGAGTAAAGTTAATTAAAGAGACAAGCAATATACGGAGTATAAAGAAAAAAGTGTTCCCTTTAGAAGAATGAGAAAATCGAGCACAAAGTAAATTTAAAGGATTTTGGAGCTTTTTCATGGTGCGCCTCCATTGAAGCTTAATTGTGAGCTTCTTTCCACCATTGATGAAGCTTCCGAGGTAAGATCTGTTTTTCTTAATCATCGGATATCACGTTCACAATATAATGTTAGTTATTATTTTAACTGTCATTATAGTCGATTTAGGGTTATTCTTTGGTGGATTATTGAGCTATTGATTCTAATCACTGAAAAGTAATAGCGAGAAATTTCCATGCTAGAATTTTTCTGTTCATATTCTTATAGGAGAAGAATTTATTTTGATAATTAAGTCAAATTTTGTTGTTAATGTGTTGCAGAACCCTTTAATGTAATGATTTTTTTTTTTTTATTTTATTATTTTTATTATTATAGAGTAAAATTTGGTTGCTAATGTGTTGTAAATCACTTTGATGTTAGGATGAAACTATGAATATGGATAATTGGGTCAATTTTGTTGCTAATGTGTTGCAGAACCCTTTAATGTTAGTATGAAACTATGAAAATGGAATTAAATTTGATAATTGAGACAATTTGGGTTGCTAATGTGTTGGCTGAAAAGGATTGTAAAGACTGATGATTTGGCCGTCATTTTAGTGATTGAATCTTAGCTCCAAGCTGCAAAAGTTAAATCCTGTAAATGTTTGTATTATTGATGCAAGCAAATTCACTTTCAAGGGTTATAGAAAATGGATGATAAGAGTAGCACATAGTAGTAATGGTGGGGTACTAGAATGATTTAAAATGATATGGAAAAACAAATGAAAATATTATCCATAAATACTACCAGAATAGGCGAAGGTTATCGAGTTGCTAGCATGCTATTGTTACAAGACTATTTTGGAGGGCGAGTCTGTGATGAGAAGTCTCTTTAGATATGGTAATTGGGTTGTTTGTGGCCTAATATCTCTTCTCAAGGTGCCTTGGTGACAACCCCTGTGATAGTAATAGTTATTTACCCTTAAATTCACCTATCTGATATACCGCATTTGTTTAAGTTAATTAGTTCATTTATTTGTGTAACTAAATGCTCTCAGGGAATTGTATTTTTCCCCTTTAATACAATTATGCTCCCAGGGAAATGTATTTTTTCCCTTTAATACAATTGTGATATGAACAAGTGTGACTTTGTCTGATGTGCTTACTATCTTTCTGAAACATTGCTACTTTTTTTAGTAAAGTAAAAATTTAAAAAGTTAAAATTAAAATAGAAATTTGTGAGCCAATCTCCATTTCCTGTCTGCTTGAAGTGTATTTATTAGCTGTTGTATGTCATACTTCTAGATCATCTATATCGAAGCTCCAACCATATCAAGTTGCACTTGCTTATTTCGACCAGACCAGTCAGCTCCTGGGTAAAATTTAGTATAGCTCTCATGCACAATCATAGTCTTTTAAACTCGATTTACATGATTTAAGTAGATGGCAGAAGAGGGAGCTCCTTATGGTTCTTTAACTTACTAATCTTGTGTCACAGTTCATAATGTAAATGCTTATAATACTGATACAATTTTCATGGCTTATAATACTGATGCATTTTTCATGACTAATCACTATAATGCATACGAACAGCAGACTAACCAATTTTTATTTTATTTTATTTTATTTATTTATTTATTTTTTTTATCTATTTTGTTTTTTTGGACTATGTCCGGTTCAACTTATTAGGAAAATACATTGTCTTAATTCGACCACACCAGTTAGCTCCTTTTATTTGTGTTTGCTTAACACTAAGTATCTTTAATTCCATAAATATATAATTGTGAAAATTAAAAGTTTGGAAAGTACACATTAATACAAATCTAACATCTTCTTTGGTATTTTTCTTTTCTAAAGGATTAATGTACAAAAGGTTAAAGTTTAATCAAATCGGGAAATTAGATCATTTCAGATTGCATCAGTCATGGTGGACTAAACATAGCCTAAGAAAGAAAACTAGATGGAGCATACTAAAGAAGCATCAGCAACCTAAATTTCCATTTTCAGATGAATAAGATTTGCAAATCTTTAAAATGCATAATTCATGCCACTTCATTTGAATGCCCCCAAAACAAAATGAAAACGGTGCCTTTCTTATGGGGCACTTATGCCCAAATGGAGGGGCCTTAATGATGGGGAAGAGCCTGGCCTATTGAAAACAAAGTTTCAGGTTGTATCACAATCTTTGATGAGTTTGTCGAGTGATAAGAATTGTGATTGCTTTCACCTAAGAAGCAAGGTTTTTTTTTTGTCCCACATCGATAGTGAAGGCTCAATATCGGTATCTTGCTACGATTGCCTAACAAAATTAACTGTTATTGGAGTCCCACCTCGGTGGAGTAGATGACAAAACTCGGGTGGTTGTTCTATTTAATGCTCTTGCTATTGTGCTATCAAAGTCACTGATTTATGAATTAATATTTGTATTCATTGTTCAGTTATAAGTATGTAATTTGCTGTTCCTTCCATGTCAAATGGTGAAGAAGATGCTGATGATGAAACTGATGAAGAGCGTCTTCAAACTATAAGCATTCTTAGCAATTGCGTCAACAATTCACCAAGTAAGCTCCCTTATTTCTTTTCAAATTTAGGCTAATTTTCTCTAATTTGCTGTTAGTTTAAGAATTAGGTTAATTTATATCTATTTCTCCTTGCTTGCTGCTGTTATATACTTTTCTTGTCTAGCTATATTTTGTGTTGTCATACACTTGTATATTAGATGTCATTTGCAAAGATGTAATCTTTACCTCTGGCATGGATTGTAGGGATCTGTTACTAAAATAACTATTTTGGTTCCATGATAACTAACCTATGTCTCATTTTATTTCAAAATTGAGAAAATTAGCACAAATTACTTCCCCATCGGCCATCTCCAATGGATAGAAACTCCACCCTCACCTCACACTTCCCCCTTAGATGGCCATAGAAATAACTAGCAACTTAATTGGAAGTGTAGAGAGCGAGGAAATGTGAAAGGCTGATTGCGTCTTCCTTAACATTAACAAAGGGAGATTTTTTTCTTTCTTTTTTTTTTTTTTTTTTTTTTTTTTTTTGGGTGCAAGTTGAAAATGAGGGGGTCGGGTGGAGGTGGTGGTGGTCCTAATTGTAAGGAAACTTGATAGAGAAACAACGAGAAGAAGAGAAAGAGTGAGTTTGGAGATGGTACCATGCTACCACTGATGCAAGGATGATAGTGTTAGCAATGGAATTTGACTCATTGATTGAAGGAAGAAGAGGATGGTAGTTGATTGTGATACTCTTGAGAGTATGGTAATGTAGAAGCATTAGACAGGTAGTGGTAGCTGGCCGAATTTATGGCGGTGCAGCCACGATGGCAGAGTATTGGCTGGTGAAATAGTTTATTTTTGTCATTCTAAAAATAATTGGCACATTGGTTATCGGTTATCCCCCAAAATGTTTGGAAAATTCTCATTTGTTACCCAAATATCACAAATATATAGATTAGAAGGTAATAATGTATTAGGAACTAAAAGTGGGAGTCATTTCACAGCCTGTTTTTCTCAAAATACTTTACTAAGCATTTTTTTTTTGAATATATATGTGTACTTTCTATATGTCCTGTACAGTCGCACTCATCTTTCACAGCCTATTATTCTCAAAAAAAACATTTTTGCAATGGCTTCTTCCCAAAACTCGCTCTTTTCATAGGGGTGAGCATGGATCAGATATCCGATCCGAAATCAAGTTTCGAATCGGATATCCGTATCGAAAATTCAGATATTTGATATCCAATCCGAAATGTTCGGATATCCGAATCCGAATATCCGAAAATTTTCGGATCGGATACTTCGGATATCCAATATCCGACCTTTTGATACATTAATACCAGACATAACAACAAATTTCTGTAAAAGCTAAATCAAATATCTGTATATCACTATGAAATCCTCAAATAGCTCCCGCATATACATAATCTAGAAAAAAGATTCCAAAATTAGCCAAGAAAGTGTAAATTTAAAATTACAATCAATGCTAAAGTTAGAATCAATGCTCCAGCAGGTTGGGATGAGCACAGCCTTGCACCCTTGCGGTTGAGTGAGAAACCACTACTCTGCCATATATTCTGATCTAAGATAGTGAAGCAATGGGATCGTTGGTAAATTGTGAAGCGTGGTGGTTTATGGGACTTCCGGTGGTGAATGAAAAAGGCCGGTGATGGTGAAGTGGTGAGGCGTTGCCGCATTGGAGATGACTGAGATGGTGGGATGAGGATTTGAGGAGAGAGAAAGAGAGTGATAGAGAAGAGAGGCGGCAAGAGGAAATATTAGGGAATCTAGGGTATTGGTAGTTTGTACTCCGTAGGTTTTTAACTTATGATTTTTTTATTTTTTATTTTTTTTCTTTCGGATATCCGATATCCGAAGTCCAAAATTTTGATATCTGAATAGGTATTCTGATATCCGTATTTTTCGGATCGGATATCCGATCATAAATCAACTTCGGATCGGATTCTCGGATTTTTGGATTTTTAGATAGTTTTGCTCAGCCTTACCTTCTCATCGTCTTCTAAAATGCTAGATTGGGCTTCTATGGTTGAAGATATGCTTTTCCTTATCCTAAGTGTTAGAATCCAACTCCTTTTGATGTATTAGATTCCATTTAAGTGCTTTCCTATAGTTTAGGTTATGTTTTCTTAGCTTGAGGTCCCATTATTGTGTTACTGTCAGATCAGTGTTCACTAGGGATTCTCCTTGTATGTCATTTAAAGCTCTTTAGAGGGCGAATGATTAATGAAATCTTGAAGCCTTCTACCAAGTGTTGCCTTGCTTTTATGCTTGTTTGTTGTTAGACCTTTATAGATATTGTGTCTTACTTGCATATTAGCTCCCCTCCAACCCAACTTGATGCGCTAAGGACTCGTGGTTCGGACCCGCTTGTGCCCGCTTTGAAGTATCGGCCGTCACAAGCCCCGACCACCCGCACTCCGTCGCCCAGATAGACGTGAGTGCTCCTGAGATTCTATTGCCCGCTTGTGTTGCTTTGTGCTCACAAGCCCCTCTTCTGCTCAAGGCTAGCGTTCTTGCCGCCAAAAGGCTAGAGCGCGCCGCACGTTTCGGGGTCCAAACTCCCGGACCGTGACAGTTGGTATCAGAGCCGAGGCTCAAACCTCGTCGCAAGCAACCCGTGTAGGCACCAAGGAGGGCTACACGAAGATGGAATTCGTAGAAGAAAGGCTCGCTTGGCTCGAGGAGAAGGAGGACAAATGGGCCGAGCTCCAAGTCATTGTACACGAGCAAGCCGAGCAAATTGTGAAATTGATGGCTGACAGAGATGCCCTCCGCGAACAATTGCAATTTGTTCAAGGAAAAGCAAACGAAGCACTTGAGAAATGTGCTACTTTAACGCGCGCTGTGGGCAGAGACGCACTGGGTGGTGCGGCAAAGATAAAGCCGCCCAAACCTCGCGACTACAGTGGCGCTAGAGATGCGAAAGAAGTTGATAACTTCCTCTTCGACATGGAGCAGTACTTCCGAATATGTCAACTAAGTGACGATCAGAAGGTGGATACTGCCATCATGTACTTGTCCGAAGATGCTAAGCTGTGGTGGCGCACCAAGCACGCAGACATCGAAGCAGGAAGGATCAAGATTGATACATGGGCGGAGTTCAAAGAGGAACTCAAAGAACAATTTTACCCCGTCAACACAGCGTTTGTTGCACGGATGAAGTTGCAAGAGTGCCGCCAGAAGGGTTCTCTTCGCAACTATGTTAAGGAATACTCGGCGATAATGTTGGACATCACAGACATGAATGAGAAAGATCGTGTGTTCAACTTTGTCAACGGGCTAAAGGAATGGGCACAGCGAGAGATTTTGAGGCAGAATATTGATACCCTCGCTGCTGCTATGTGTGCTGCTGAGAGATTGATGGACTACTCAGTCGGGAAGGGTCGTCAATCCGAGAAGGATTCAAGTGGGACGTCAACACGCTCTAACAGTCCGTCTCCAAGCTCTCCAAAGGGTACAGAGAACGGCTCACGAGTATCGTCCAACACCATTAATACATATCATAGAAGAAGTGGAGGAGGTGATGCCCAGAGACAAACATCTACCCCCTCCCACAACTCAGGAAACTCGAGGGCCGGCGCATCCTCGACAAACACAAGGGCAATAAACTGCATACTTTGTCGAGGTCCACACAAATGGTGGGATTGCGAGCATAAAGAAGAACTTGACAAGATCCAAAAGAGTTTGTCATCCATGTCCGTTCAGGAGGCCACAAAAGAGACTAGCAGCGATGAGGAGCCCATATATAGGATGGGTTCCATACGACGCCTGAGTGCTATGAGAATGATAGCACCTCAAGAAGAACCAGAAGTCCGATATCTTTCGGCAATGCGAGTGATGGAGCCTGAGAAGAAGGCAACATCGAAGAAACAAGCTCGCACCAGAAACTTAGAGAAGCGGGAGATGAAGCCCATGGAGTTGGCAACATCCCAGATACACACCCGCCAAAACCAAAATCAGTCACAAGGTTCGAAGCAAAGAGCGACGAGCCCAGAGACACCAAAGAGACACCAAAGAAGAACCTCCCAAGAGGGAGGAAAAACAGTGGTTGAGCAAACAACGCAGGGCGCGTGCAAGGGATTACAAAGAAAATGGTCACCCAAGAGGCACCAGCCACAACTTGAAGCTTTCCACCACTGTCTCAAGGAAGCAGCTCCCCAACAGATGATGATGGAAGCAGTTGTCCCCCTTAATTCAACAGATTCCACTTCCAGGAGGAAATTTAGAGATGAAGCTCTCAACAAGATGTTCAAGCCGAGCGACTCCAGAGACAAGCTCCTCGTCAACAAAGAAGATCCAGCTCAAGAGTCAGATAAGATTCCAGAAGATAGCCGCACCAATGGCGCATCCGAAACTTGAGATAGTTTAGGGTTTTCTAATTTTGATTGTAACTTTTGTAAGTCGATGAGGTCGTCGACAGCTTAAGTGGGGGAGGATGTTAGAATCCAACTCCTTTTGATGTATTAGATTCCATTTAAGTGCTTTCCTATAGTTTAGGTTATGTTTTCTTAGCTTGAGGTCCCATTATTGTGTTACTGTCAGATCAGTGTTCACTAGGGATTCTCCTTGTATGTCATTTAAAGCTCTTTAGAGGGCGAATGATTAATGAAATCTTGAAGCCTTCTACCAAGTGTTGCCTTGCTTTTATGCTTGTTTGTTGTTAGACCTTTATAGATATTGTGTCTTACTTGCATATTAGCTCCCCTCCAACCCAACTTGATGCGCTAAGGACTCGTGGTTCGGACCCGCTTGTGCCCGCTTTGAAGTATCGGCCGTCACAAGCCCCGACCACCCGCACTCCGTCGCCCAGATAGACGTGAGTGCTCCTGAGATTCTATTGCCCGCTTGTGTTGCTTTGTGCTCACAAGCCCCTCTTCTGCTCAAGGCTAGCGTTCTTGCCGCCAAAAGGCTAGAGCGCGCCGCACGTTTCGGGGTCCAAACTCCCGGACCGTGACACTAAGCCATCTGTTTTTGCTTTGTGACATAGTTTCCTTCAGCTAGTTGTGTTTGCTAGCTAGTGTTTGCACAAGCTGGCATTCCATTGCTAAACACATATTCAAAACACTCAACATCAGTCCAAATATGGCATGTGCAGAGTTGATGTTAAGTGTTTTGAATTTGTGTTTAGCAATGGAATGCCAGCTAGTGCAAACACAACTGAAGGAAACTATGTCAGATAGCAAAAACATATGGCTTAGGATAAGGAAAAACATATCTTCAACCATAGAAGCCCAATCTGGCATTTCAGAAGACGATGAGAAGGGCAAGTTTTGGGAAAAAGCCATTGAAAAAATGTTTTTTTTATAGAATAATAGGCGGTGAGTGCAGGACATAAAAAGTACACATATATACAAAAAAAAAAAAAAAAAAAAACTTAGTAAATTATTTTGAGAAAAATAGGATGTGAAATGACTCCCACTTTTAGTTCCTAATACATAATTACCTTCTAATCTATATATTTTAAAGTACATTTTTATTATTAGAGTATAATTCTACCCCACATGTATGGTAAAGTTATCTCTCGCATAAACTTCCATTCAACAAGGTACACAAATTACCCCAAAGTTCTTTGATCTAATCATGCATCTCCGGAATTTGAAACTTTGTTTAACACAATTACTACTTCCCTGGTTCTTTGCAAATTAAAACTGCATTTGAAACTTTGTTTGACACATACCAAGGACATCATAACCAATAGTGTAATTTAGTAAAATCAGCCATTAGTTTATAAGGGATAAGAACATACTTCCTATTACAATCAGCACGATTTGACAAGTCATTGGTATAAAGCTGTCATGTCATCTGCCCAGATGCAGCAGCCAAACATGCATAATTTGGCCATCCTGTAGTTCCAACAGAAGAAAAAAATACAAGTAGCTTTAGAATTTCAAATTCCATAAACTAGAACCCCAAATATATAAAAACTGACAAATAAGAAAACATGAGCAGCATGAAGATATACTGCAAATATTGAGTTCAAAATATTTTATTATAATCACTACCAACTTTATCTTGTTTAATTATTCAGAGTGTAGTCCAAGAACAAAAAAGTTCGTTCTTCTGAATTTTAGCAAGAATGTTTTACATTGATCTTGATTTTTACATAAATTAAGCTAGGTGATTATTCTTGTTGTATAGTCATCTTTTACTACATTTATGTAAAAAATCATCATCAAAGCCAACATGTCAAAAAACAACGATATAGGGCGATTGATATTTCTTTCTTTTTTTTTTTTTTTCCAGTCGACCAAAGATTTATAGAAAAAATTGAGGGTTACCAATGAGAGTTTCCTAAAACATTTGTATGGTAAAATATCCTTGTTTGTTACAATTGCTTTTTCATTTGTTGGAGAACTTGAGAAGAAGAAGATTTGTGTGGGAAGGGCTTATCATGCATATGTGACCTGGACTAGTGCCCAATTCATATATACTTGTATTGTATATATTATGATTTTTTCTGCATTAAACAAACATTGTGATCTACTTTATTTTAAAATTTGCATATTATAATAGTATAGACATATAGTGGTTACTGGTTAGTGTATGCAGGAAGAGAGTGATTACTGTGATGTGGAGTCTTGATCTGAACTCTTTTTATTTTGGTAGTTAGAAAAACTCTTTCTTATAATAGAATCAAATGCTTTTCAAGTGAACATTCTTTGGGCTTGTGATGCAAAATATGGATGCAATCTGGGGCAAGCCTAATTTTCTGCTCTTAGAAGTTAAAATTGTAATGATATTTGTCATCTAGATTGTGCAATGGGGGCAAGGAGCTAAGGATTACAGAGGCAGTAGCTAAACTTTATTCTCATTTTAAATATCAATTTCTACGTTTGGTCCTCACTTTATTATAGTTAAAACATTTCAAGGGGCTTTAATCTAGAGGGAACTTAAAACTAATAATTAGAATCTGAAATATGCACAACACCATATGATGAAAATGAATAAGTGACCGCTGTGAAAATAGCCATATCAGCATTATATTTTTGGTTTTCCTCACCAAAACAAATCGATTTGATTAATGTTAATCCTAGTGTATATGTATGTACACAACTTTGCTATGGGTGATAATAATCATTTCTTTTTTGGGGGATGTTTTGCAGAACATTAAGCTTTTAGGATTTCCTTCTGTGCTCCTCCTGAAGAGGAGGCTGTTGTATACGGCTGATTTCTTGGGTTGCATCATCTGCTTGAATCCTGTCTAAGTTGCCCTGGCTCTTGTGAGTTCTTGGTGTATCCCATTACAATTCCCTAAGATATGGTAAACAGAGCATCCCACAGCTTTTGGAGTTATAATGCTACAACAAAAGAGACAAGTATAATTTCCAGTATGTGGTGGAGGAAAGAGTAGAGTATAACTTGTCAAGTGTGAAAATATTTGTCGGATAAAGGACAAGGGAGTTGTAACCATGTGACAAATGCGATAGAGGGTTTCATATAGGATGTGTTTGACCCATCATTGTTTGTATCTCCATGGCCATTTATTAGCAGATTGAGGAAGATGGAGGCTGCAGGGTTCTGAAAATTTATCATGGAATGCAATAGTTTGTCACCTAAGATGCAGCACTTTTCAGCATCTTTTAATTCAACTCAAAAGGATTTCTTCATGGGATTGCGAAGATTTTGGCAAAGGCATTGACGATGGTGAAAAGATAAGACTATTTTTATGTCAAATGTGAGGAATGTGGCTCAGGTGAAGAAAAGCAGTTGCAACCGTGTGTTAAGTGCAATAAAGGTTATTTTTATGTCAAATGCGAGAAATGTGGTTCAGGCTAAGAAAGGGAGTTGTAGTCTTATTTTTATGTCAAATGCGAGAAATGTAGTTCAGGCGAAGAAAGGGAGTTGTAACCTTAGGCGAAGAAAGAGAGTTGTAACCTTATTTTTATGTCAAATGCGAGAAATGCGGGTTGGGCGAAGAAAGGGAGTTGTAACCTTATTTTTATGTCAAATGTGAAGAATGTGGGTCAGGCGAAGAAAGGGAGCCGTAATCGTATGATAAGTGCAATAAAAGGGTTTCGAGCTGTGTTAAAGAATTATTTTCTGTCAAGTGTGAAGAATGCGGGTCGGGTGAAGTAGGGGAGTTGTAACCATGTGATAAGTGCAATAAAGGGTTTCATATAAGTTGTGTTTGACCAATTGACCCATCGTTGTTTGGGTCTCCATGACCATTGATTAGCATAGTGAGGAAACTCATTTAAATAAGTTTTACAATTTTATTTTGTTTTTGAAATTCAATGCTTGCATCGCGGGTATTTAAATTTATTGAGCAAATAGATAATAAGTTGTATATTGCAATGTACAATCAGTTGTATAATGAAAATTGTCGAACCTTTTATTATTTCAAGTATCATAATGGATTATGGGCAACTTTTGCCTCTGTGCTAACTTTAAATCACGATACTGCTCATTATCTAAGCCTTCAACTACTGGTAAACTGCAACGATAACTCGTTTCACCTTTGCTAGCAACAACAATAATGCTTTCTTTCAACTACTCTGTATTTTGTTCTTTTCGAAGCTTTACTATGTTAAATATCAATAATTGAGCATTGGCTTTATCGGCTTATCGCTATCCTATGGGCTAATGTTTTTGCAGGTCACTGGAATGAAGAGGGCCGGGGGAGCTCTAGTAGCTTAAACCAAAGGATAAGAATTGCGAGCATATTGGTTTCTCTCTAAGAATCAATGGTGCGCGGAACTTCAATATTACACATTTGAAGACGCTAATCCATACAATTTGAAGGTGCTGTAAAAATTTGATGTGCAAGTGCAAACGCAATTACGAGTTTTAGTTCGGAGAAAAAAGTATTTGTGAATTGTACACACCTAGACGCTCCTCTAGTTACAAATCTAACTTCTACCTATGCCCATATCGCCATCAAAGACATAAGGCCGGTACCTAGCAAAGCGGCCACATAACAAAATAATTGAAGCTTAAGATTTCCTTGAAGTTTTGGCCCTTTGAAATCAGAAGCCAACAGGTCTACCAAAGCCATGTAAATCAGCAGCCCGGCAGACACCGCATTGAGAATCCCGACAACGATCAATGCTATTGGACTATTCTCCTTGTACACATTTTGTAATAGGATCCCTAGAACAATCCCTAGTGGGGTTGTCACCGAGAAGAAAAACACCATTATCGATTTAACCTTCAAGCTGTACTTGGCCTGTTATATATATTTAACATATGATCAACAAAGATATCAAGATATGATGTATATATTCATTCCCACAACAACTTAAAATACAAGATATGATGACCATCACCTGTAAAATGCAACCACCAAGGCCCATCCCTTCAAAGAGTTGATGGAAGCAAATCGCGGCTATAAGTGGCCTTATTGTGCAGGGATTATCTGAAGATCCCATTGAAAGACCAATTACAACTGAGTGAACTACAATTCCTGATTCCAAAACCTGCACCATAAACATCTCTAAATAAGTAGCTATAAAATTTATCAATCTCAATGAAATTATAAGGCTTATAAAGAGATGCACAACATGAAACAATGTACCTGAGCTACAACACGGTCTTTTAACAATTTCGAGCTCTCGCAATCCATCATCACTTGTACAATTTGACCATGGTGATGACCATGAACAACATTAGTATTGTCACCCAACCCCAATTCAACCTTATTCTCAACATCGTTGCCATTTCTATTACCATCTACATTCTCATTTTGTTGCCTAGATAAGGCCTTTTTTTCATAATAAGCTATGGAAAATGAGTCCATCATCATTGTTCCATACGCGGAGATCAATGTAATAAACGGCGTGAAAGGGAAAACCTTCCAAGGCTTTTCAGGCAGACACGGCGACGTCAAATCATTCCATGAGTCAGGCATCACATGCATGAACCCCGTGGCAACGATAACCCCTGAGGCAAAGGCTCGAACAAGGAGGAACAAGTCCTTATCGGGGTGTAGCGCAGGCACGGACCTAGAAAATAATGGTAAGGATACACCAACCATACTAGCCGCTAGTATGGCTAGTATGGCAATGTTATTAAGACTTTGTGCCCTAGCCCTATTGTGGCATCGACTCTCTACCTCGGACAAACACTCCGAGGCTTCCTCCTCGGATTTTGCAGTGACCGTCGAGAGGGAGCCAACGATTAAAAACATAATGAGAAAGAAAGATACATGATTATTGAGTTGATAATAAAACATGGCCATGACTTAATTACTTATAAATTATAATGTAATTTTTTTTTCGGAGTTTCATTGTAACAATATATATAAGGAAGGAACAAAGGAGTGTCTTATGCAAGAATGTGTTGTAGTGTGGGAGCATGATGAAGAGTGTGTCGAGAGTGTGGTGACTTAAGGCAATGTTGTTAAAGACATGCTTTATCGACACATTCAACATACAAGAAGTTATACTAAAGCGTTAAAATCGCAACAAATTAAATGTGTCGCATGTTTTAGTTTACGCATTTGTGTAATGAACATATTCCTAATTTCTGCATAATCCTAAAAGGCTTACAACTCATCACCTTCGAAATATTAGGAAGAATAACAAAATCATAGTCAAAAGTCCAAATAGAATTCTTCTAATCACTTGTGCATCTAACAACCTGTTTTTATACGTGGAGATTAAATGATGGTTATGCTAGTTTGTCATCTTAATTTCCATTATTTCTTTTAAACTTTTCATTATCATATACATAAAAATACAAGTTTGTTGTTTCAAAAAAATACAAGTTTGAGGCTGAGATTGCATCAACATACATATGGAATTTAGGATACATAGTCATTGACGCTATTTATATAAAATTACCAAATTGGCCTTAGGTGTTACTACTATCAACATTATACTTCATAAATTTATATTTTGGGATGAAAGGAAAAGATAATTTAAAACTTGGCACATATGTCAATTTACTAGATTGAACAAGTATATATAAATAATTAAATTAGTAAAATAATATTAAAAAAAAGTTGATTCTATGAAACTTTATATTAATAGCTATTTAATATTATATTTCATGATAAATTTAACTTAATTTTTTTTACTGAAGAAAATTTGTCTTAATTATGTTAGTAAAAAATTATAGCTAAAGTTATTTTATAAATAGTGAAGATAAGTCAAACATGTCCATTATCTTGAAATGGAAGGATTATGTAAAGAAAATTTACTAGCTAAAATAATTGACATTCACTATTTATTATAGCTTTTATAAGTTTTGTTCCATTTCTCTTGTCAAAAAAAAAAAAAAAAAAAAAAAAAAAAAAAAAAAAAAATTGCTAATACAAAGTATATGGATTAAATTTGGTGGGCAAAAAAAAAAAAAAAACTTCTTATTATTAATTATGTTAATAATAATCGATTGGGCTTGGGCCTACACCCTGTTGTTAATGCAAGAGTGTTGGAACACTTTCAAGCCCACAAATTTATAATTGATAAGTAGTTCCTTCCTTAGGATTATAAGCTAGTTTGATTCTTTCTCTTTCTCTAATGTGGGATAAATGGACAATACTTTTTCACATGTGTGTTGTTCATGAAATCTCAAAACTACGCAATGTGTTATTCTTCCAAACAAAAACTTTGATTTATTTCTTGTATGCATTCATGACTCCATGAATAAATAAGGGGATTCTCATTCTCAAAGTGCCCGTTTTAGGGAGTGTATCATCAGTTTTTGATCTTTCCTTGCCATTAGACCTACACGTATTTAGAAATAAAAAGTTGTCATACGTAGTATATAAAATGGATAAAGCTTTGTATTTTGTCTATGTGGGACAATAATTTCTTTGGTTCTTTTGAAGCAAAACAAACTTGGGAGTTTAAGCAATGAAATAAGAACTTAATTACAACACTAATACACCATAAAGCAACCATACTAGTAGGACTTGAACCCATTGCCACACCAAATGTGTAATCCATCCACACCTTCCATGAGTGTAAAGCCTTGTCGATAATTTAGAAATACGAACTACGTATAATGTTGAAAGCCATAACATAAGGTTGATTGTCTTTTATATGTTGTGTGCATTGTCCCTGAGTTTCATAGACCATTAGTTTCTTTCTTTGTACTAATTAAAGTATGTTCTTGTTGGTCTTTTACATTAGCTAAATACGAGCTTTCGTTAGTATTGCTCACGTTATACACATTCTTCACGTTCACAAGGTTGTGATTTAAATAATGTGACCAAATGTAACATATTTTGTGCTCGATTTGCATAACCTTAACCTCCACAAAATCTACTGCGAAACAACATACATATAGTTTTTGTTGGTAAGTAACAACATAGTGTTCTACATATGGTTAAAGTTATAAAAAAAAAAATAAAGCAAAGCAATAAAATGGTCTGATTGAGTTACAATTACTCATTTATTTCTTAAATTTGCTCGTTAAACTATAACGCCTAGAAATAATGTTCTTCATCTGCTAATCCCAAATCTGTAAAGTGTGACATGATCCAAACCATAGATGCACACATATGTAGTACGCACCTAAAAGTGTGCAGCGTCGAGTTGTTTGCCAATCTCAAAAGAAAGGAAGGCATCGATAGCAGCATATTGCACCTGTGCAAGACTTAAATTTGGCTGACTCCAATCACTCGTAGATGTTTCGTTGCTTTACATATAATGTCCAGGACATTATATACCAACTATACCAACCCTGCATTGCTTTACATTAAATTAGCCAGGAAATCATTAAGTTACAAAAAGCAAAGTATTTATATAGGAAAGTTATTGGTTTCGAAAGCTGTTTAAGTACAAACCAAGCAGTAGATAGTGTCCAACAATTCAAAAGGATCTTCTAATTGTACAAAATATCTTTAGTGAGTTACAAATGAATTCAGAAGATTGTGTAACAACTGGAAGACCTGCCTGATGACTTGAATAGTACTGGTGCGAGCCGAACTGTGTATTGGGAAGGCAATAGCGCAGGTTATGATAAAGCTTTGGGAATGGGAGCAGCAACAACACAGCATATCCGGAAGAGCTTAGCACCTAGCAAATAAGGGTATAAAAGATACTCAATGATCATAATACTCAAATAAGATGAACTTTAGATTAGTAATTGTCACACAAAGTGTGTTACTATGCAATTTTAGTATACCATGACAATTGAAAAAATAAAATTTCCATTATTTTTAGTAAAGTTGCTTCTTCTTCTGGGCTTCAATTACCCAATCATCCACGTACTTAGTAAAGTTGTTCAGATTCATCGCGTTAAATAAAGAAGTATTACTCTTCAAACCTTTCACACTACTAATCAGCTTTATATCCTTCAACGAGTGACGCCAACATTCACGATTCTAAGAGCAGTAACAATTGGGTTCTTCAGCCACCAAAAATTTCAGTAACTCCTGCAACAATATTTTACATTTCAACTCATACTCTGTATTAATAGAATCTGTTCTCAAAGCATTCATGCATTTCGTAAATCATATACAATCGAGCAATTTCATAACTGGTAACTTGAAATTTGTCACTGCGATGCAAATTAATAGGAAATGATAGATATTTTAAAAAATAAGGGCATACCTTCACAAAATTAGGAGCACAAAGATTAAGCTCTATTGACAGAATCCTAGGACGCAAGTTCCAGAATAAGCCATCTAAAAGAGCTGCATAGTTTACTGATGGCAAAGGCAAAACATGTCATACTAAGTCAAAAACTCAATCTCAAAACACGACTAATTTTTTTAGCACCATTTTTTAATATGGAGATGATGAACAACTTTCAGGTACGGATGTTTTTTTAAATTAGACTTTACAATGAATCGATAAAAAAAATTATAGGTTTGAGTTTTCTGAACCTACATGGACACTACTTTGAGAAATATTTTCAAGTGAAGTAATTTCTTATTTTTGAACACTAATTCGGCAAATCGTTCTTAATATCAATAATCCGTACTATTTATCTAATTAACAAAGGATAACACAAATTAGTTTATCTTGAATTGAAATTGTAAATAAAAAAAAATGAAATAAATGATTACTTTCAATTCTTCGAAGAATTAACCAAGAGGGAAGCTAAGAGGGGGGTTAGGGTTTTTTACAAAAAAAAATTATTATTAAGGGCATGAAATCAACCAATTAGCAATTAGTTCATAAACATTGTTCATATTTACACATTAATTGAACATGAATAATATAAAATGATTGATAGCGAGAAAATAAAAAGTAAAAAAAAACTTTAAACACTCACCAGAATTAACTGCAATTAGCTTTTTTGAGAAGCTTCCTTGAGTAAAATAAAGTACTCCGTACTCAGGAGAACATTTTAATCAACTTTAGAAATGGGAGTGGAGTTAAATTTTGCTTTAACTTCCTTGAGAAGCTTTGATTTAGCTTCTTCGAGAAGTTTTTTTTTTTATTAATATTTTTTTATTTTTTTTACGGAGGGTTTTAGCTTTTCAGAAAGGCTTTGGTTTAGTTCAATTATATAGTACGTTTGAGTACGATTCCTTCCTAAATCCCTAGTACTTCGTCTCTACAACTGAGTATGTCTTATTTGACTTTTTGTGATATTCGCGATACGTTTATGACGATTTTATATTTATTTTTATGTGTGTAAAAAGTTAAAAACTAAATATTTATTAAAATATACCATAAGGTGACTTTAAGGCGGATTATAGAGTAGTTTGATTTTTCTCATTCTTCAATATGGGGGGGGGGGGGTTCGGAGGGATTCCTACTCTTAAAGTATCCGTTTTGGGGAATAATCACCAACCTCAAAATTGAATCTTTCCTTACCACTAAGCCAACACAATTTTGGTATTAAAAAGTTGCCATATATAAAATGGATAAAGTTTTGTATTTTGCCTCTGTGGGACGGCAATTTTGTTGGTTCTTTTGAAGCAAATAAACTTAGGAGTTTAAGCAATAACGTTAGGACTTAACTAATTGTAACAACACTAGTACACCATAAAGCAATCATACTAGTAATTGAACCCATTGCCACAACAATTGAGTATTCCGTCAGTCCCTCCACACCTTCCATGTGTGTAAAGCCTCGTCGATTTAGAAATACGAAGTATATACAAAATTGAAAGCCATAGCAAAGATTAACTGTCTTTAACCTCCACAAAATCTATCGCGAAACAACATACATATAGTGTCCTAAGTAACTCCTAACATATGGTTAATGCAATGATAACATAAAGTTTCTCAATACAAAAACAAAGCAATTAAATCAATTAGTAATCTAAATTGGTCTGATTGAGTTACAATTACTCATTTATTTCTTAAATTTGTTCATCAATTAAACACTGTGATGCCTAGAAATGTTCTTCATCTGCTATAATCCCAAATCTGTAAAGTGTGATCGACATGATCCAAGCCATAGAAACACACGTACGAACCTAAAAGTGTGCAGCGTCGAGTTTTTTGCCAATCTCGAAAGAAAGGAAGGCATCGATAGCAGCATATTGCACCTGTGCAATACTCAAATTTGGCTGACTCCAATCACTCAAAGTAATGTTTCGTTGCTTTACATACTCCAAGTCTAGAACATTATATGCCAACGATACCAAACCTGAATTGCGAAAGCTGGGCTCATCCCACCTACATTAACAAACAAATTGGAGTAATTAGTCACATTGATATGGTTACAAAGCTCGAATGCAAACTATTTGATGCAAATCATGCCTTTTACTAGGTGAAACAATTTACAAGCTATACATCAAATGTGCAAAAAAAAAAAAAAAAAAAAAAAAAAAAAAAATATATATATATATATCTTTAATCGCTTTATATCGTACATGACACGACTAATTAATTTAATCCACAACAATTATTAGAGGTAAATTTAAAAACAAAAAAAAAATCTCAATTTTTAGTTTAGTATAATTAGTTAATTATCCCTAAGACCCTTTTGGACAATTAGGCTGACTTTTTTCATCTCGGAGGTTAAATCAGTAGATAGTTCCATAATTTTTTTTTTTTTTTGTACTAATTTAAGATATTTTTTTTTGTTTATTTTCAAGAAATTCTGTCTTTTGATTGACTAGTTCATAAAGAATTGATATTATACAACAACAAATAAATTAAAAATAAATAAACATTAAACAACGTATACGAAGCAATCACATCAATTACGTACCCTACTATACTCGTAATATTCAAAATTGCTTGACCTAATTTCTTCCAAAACATATCATTTTCGGACAAATTAATAATACACAAATTTAATGATAAAATTACTTATTTACTTGAATAACAAGAATATTTTATCAAAGTTATTGTGTACCAAGTATAAGATCCCGAAATCCGACAACACGCTATTACCAATTTACATATGCTAAAAAAAAAAAGACCCACAAAATCACTAATATTCGTTAAAGATCGAAAAAAGATTCATATTATGAAACAAAATGAAAGAATCAAATAAACAAGAAGATAATGTACGTTCGTAGGAAAACTTGACAAAAAAACACAAAAATTTAAAGAAAAGAAGAAAAAATGAACCTGGTAGAAACCAAAGTACGAAGATCAACAGTATAATTAACGTCCAACCCATAATCTTGCTTAAGTTTTTGTACATCATCATCAATACCAACACCAACAAAAGTATAATCTTCATTAGTAAGGAAGTCGACGAGGCCTTGGGGTATCCTAGTAGCGTACAGAAGTTGAAACACAAGGCAGTGATGGCCTACACATAGTTGAAGTACAGCCACGGGGTTACGAAAGTACCTAGACGTGTTAGGGCGCCACTCGATGTCGAGGCCTACTACGAGTTTGTGGAGACGACGACGATGGATGTATTCGACACGATTGATCCAAGATTCGACGGATTCTGCTGAGGATGTTACTGTTGTTGCGATGGAGTGGTTGCTGAAGTTAACGTTCAAGTACATGTTTTGTGCTTTTTTGAGAGAGAAATGGTAAAGAGAGAACAAAGTTTTTTGGAGGAGGGATATTGTTTTTATGTTGTGATTTGATGTTAGGAATATTATTGTAATAATGTAAAGTATATATATTGTGTTTCTTAAAAATAAAAAATAAAAAAAAAAAAAAGGTATTCGCGGTCTGGCTTGGTGTGGGGATGAAGCGGTCTGGCTTCGCATCGGCGTAGACTAGGGTGGAATAGGGGTGGGGATTCGCGGGTTTATGGGTGGGTTGTCGCTAACAGGGGTTGAGCTGGGTGGGTCGATTGGCTAGGGTTGGGACGGGGGTCGCTGGCTGCCTGGCTGGGTTGGGTGGGGCTCGGTTGGTAGGACTGGGTTGGGTGGGGTTTTGCGGGCAGGGGGCAGGGCGGGGTGAGGGGGCTGGGGGGGTTCGCTGGTAGCGAAGGGGACTATGTGGGTTGTCGCCGGCAGGGCTAAGGCTGGTTAGGGTGGTGGGCTGGCCAGCTGGGTAGGCCAAGGTTCACCGTCAAGGGTTGGGGAGGTGGCTGGTTAGGGAGAAGTGGGGTGGTGGGAGTTTAGATTTTTTTTTTTTTTTTTTTTAATAATAATTTATTAACTAATACTAAAATAAAACATTTCTGACATCATTGATTCTTAAACTATCCTACATGTCATTAATAATCAACTGTTAATGATTTTTATTTTTATTTTACACTTTTGACTTCAATGCATAAGTATCCATATAAAATTCAATTAACCAAGTTTCTCTACTAAATTATACTTTCAAATACCTAATTTGTTTGATGTTTGATCATGATTTCAATTTTTTTCACTGAAGTGTAAATTGTTTTTATATCTAATTCTAATCTTCATATACAACGTAATGCAACGAATTATTAAATTACAAGAAAGATAATTCTAAACGTGCATCGCACGGGGATAACCTAGTAATTAAACTAATTTTTATATTTTGTGAAAAATTAAAATCAATTTAAAATAAAATCAAATACAAAGTAAATACAACATAATACAAAATACAGAATGTATAAAAATACAAAGCAAAAAAAAAAAAAAAAAAAAAAAAAACCAAGCGATGACCGAATCAACATGTCATATGTAATTTTTCTTGTTAAAAGAAAATGTATCAGAAATAAACCAAAGTTAGTTTGTCTTGTTTAAAGAAGGTTACACAAAGTTTATATTATTCTTATTTCTTGTGAATTTTTCCAAAAATAAATTACAGCTTTGTAGATTGAAGTGTCAACTTGAATCATTGCTTGAGTTTAGGTCAGATTTAGTTAGGTCAGATCATTTTGAATCAGATTAGCTCTGATAATGTCAATTTATTTTGGGTTAAATCAAATTTTAACACCTCTAACAACCCATAATTTCTCTAGAGTTAAGATAGAGAAATTTTATTAGATGTCTCCTTCAGAATTCAAATCAAAGTTCAAAATTGATTGCTCAATCATGTGTCTGTGTGACTTTTTTTTTTCTTAATAAATATATCTGTGTGAAAGTCTTAATTATTTTTTCAAAAAAGAAATTTATAAACTTATTTTATTTGGGGGTTCGAACCGCATCCCCCCCTCCTGTGATAGAAGGCTCCCATGTACCATACCTTGTAATAAAAGAAACTTTTTTTTTTTTTAATTTGGTAAAATTAGAAATCCCGCTTGTTTAGGGTGAAAATCGAACCCATCTTACAATGGTGAAAGAAGACCTCCAGCTAGTAAACCAACCTTAGATTCTCTTGACAACTCTCACAAGGGTGTAATACTACATTGTTGCAAAAATCTTCACCAAAACCTTAAAAAACATATTTACTTTCTAGGGTACTATTCTTGAGTTTTGGTCAAGAATAAAAAAAGATATGATTTGCACTAATAATACCCCGTATAGAAGTTTGATAAGAACAAGGTTTCAATTACTTATCACACACAAAATTAGATTAAAGGTAAACTGATCACATAGATAAAGGTGATGCAAACAGAAAGAGAAAATCGATAATATTCATAATTTTAAAAAAAAAAAAAAAAAAAAAAAAAAGTTACTAATTTTATACCCTATAGTTTCAAGCGATAGTCTCAACAGTGGACATATTTGATCACTTCAATTTTCTCAGAAGGGTTTCTCAAAATTCAAGGACAAGCTAGCCACTACAGAAGATGATTTCGAGCACTCTGCTAGTAGTATTGCAACCAAAGAAAATTCTTGCCAACCGCGGTAAGGCCAACAACACCATTCGAACCCAAATTAATGCATTACCAAGCAACCTTTTATTTGCATTTCGAGCCATGTCCAAGTTTCCATTTATACTCCAATGTCTCACAAACTAACCCGATGCAGTAGCTCGCACTTAGTGGAAACCTAGAGACTGAGCAACCAAACAAGGCAACACTCATCATATATAAGTGATTTAAATACACAACTCAATAGCAAGTCAAGTAGTAATCAACTGAAAGACCACAAACAAATACCATAATTTTTTTTGTAGTTGAAGTTTTGTTGAGTAATTTCAACCAAAAACAAGCTCTAGACAGACAAGTAGTAACTTGAATGCAGGGCCAGAAATCTTTATATCATCTTATTCATTATTTCTCCTCCGTTGGATTGGATTGAGGAACGTTTGTTATTAAAAGATTTCTGGCCCTGCATTCAAGTTACAAATCAGCTGCAAAAGAAACTCTTACAACTGGTAGAAACAACCACAAAAGGAAAAAGTGCTGAATTCAAGCACCAATATTGAGCTCTTTTATCTACATATCACTCATCAGAATAAACTCTAGTCACTAGATCAGGAACTCAGGAATAGATGATCTAGTACAAAAAGGTGGTTTAAATAACAGTGTAAAACTACCAATAATACTAAACTGCTGAATAAACAACATGGCAGGTCTAAAAATCAAAGCCGAGTTTGCAATATTAGTTCCCAAACAAAAAAAAAAAACCCCTGTTTCACCGTAACTGTTCGACCTTTTACATCATCCCCTTTAAAGATAGGTCATAGACTCGGTTATTTTATCACAAGTTTGTACATTTCAGACCAAGATAGGTCAGAATCACAAAACACTAATAATTACATATTCAAAAATACTTCAAAAACATTCATCAAACCGGAGTGGAATTAGATCCGTAGCTTATGCTACCTTTCCCTATCCCCTGAACAAGTACAACTAGGCCAGCTTTTCAAACACTAACCATTTATACTTACGAAATTGTGGTCTTAAATGAATAAACTAGAAGCATCTTCAAGAATAGTAGTAGTATGTTAGTACCAAGATTAGAACGTATAGTTACAAAAGTTACCTGAAATATAGTCAGTTGTGTAGTCCTTGCTAACTTTACCAAGCTCCATTGTACCCACCTGAAGTCACAGTGAACACATCAGCTGCATTTTGAACATTTTAGTAGCAGGATAAAGAATACAAAAACTAAAATAATATGAGGTGGCGAAAAATACCATAAAAACAAGGTCAGAATCATCTTTAGTAGCAGAACTATAATCTTCTATGTCAACCACCTTTTCTGAACTATAAGATAGCCCTAGAAAGCAAACAACCACTTCGGTAACTATCATTGTTTTCATGATTATGTGCCACAATTAAAATAGAAATAAACGAAAACCCACCAATTATTTGAGCATTTTCAGGTATATGCTGCTCCACAGGTTTTTTAAGGACTTGAAGTACTTCTCCTGAATCTTTTGATCGAATGCAGGACTTCTCGAATAGCTCAACTACATAAATTGCAATAGGTCTACATATCAGAAATGAACAATAACATCCAAGAAACTTAGAAAAAATATGCTAATGTACAAGAGCCTTCAATCAGATAATGCAAAGATACATTCCAATTAGAAAATTATGCAAAGATACATTCCAACTAGTTACTTTAATCACAACATGAGCAACCAAAAAAAGGTGACTACTAGACTTCTCATATGAATAGAGTACAGTTACAAAAGAATTGATTCAAATTGTAGAGAAGTGAAACGAACAACTAGTGCACAAAAACGGTTTAAACATCTTCCACTGTCACTTTAAGACTACTTACCCAAAATACCACAAAACCGTTTGCAGTGGCTTGACTTCGATGTTAATACCAGAATCAGCTTTCATGTACACAGCTCCAACCAGGCCAGCTTGATTTAGCGGACTATCTAAAATTTCACAAAGGACCTGGAATTCAAACAATACCAATGCCATAAATCTACAACTCGACATAAAACAAATACAAGTTTTTCAAGGCTGAAACCAGGTAATTACAATCCTGCTGAGGCAGAAATATAATTGCAGGACACTAGCCATGTATTTTAGCCTCTTGCTAGCACGGAATTTCAGTTAACACGTTTAATTACAAATACCATCACGCTCCCTTCTTCCTCTAATCATGTCCATCCCTTTCCCTTTTCCGGTCTCTTCTAATTTTTCTTGTACAAACCAAACAAAGGAAAATTATGTTCGAAAGTCAATTCCCATCATTAGTTAAAATTATTTTCCTCCAAAATGAAAGCATAGTACTAATCGTACTAATAAATTGATCAATTGTAAAATCAATCGTGACGATTTGCTATATATTCCTCTATACATAGACACAATGACGCAATGTCTTTCTTCTCTTTCCTTAATCTCTACACGCAATGTCTTTCGTGCTGAGATTGAAGTAACTTTAATTTCGAGCTCGATTAAAATCTAATTAACATCCTATCCTACTACAATAAACCCAAATCGAGATTCTTTAACTATAAAGTGTAATACTTGTTACAAGATTATTATGCTTGATTAAAACTTTCAAAACTCAAACAAGATTGAATATTTAATAAACAGAGAAACAAGTACACCTCATAACAAATTTCAGGGCGATAATCTCTGGGATTTTTCCCTTGTTTCAATAAAAAAGTTTGAATCTTCATAGGAATTCAAAATCTTACGCTTATGATAAAAATAAAAAACAACATTGAACATCACAACAAATAAGATAAAAAATAATATCAAATATCAAATTATGAGAAAGTATACCTTGCGAACAAAACCCTTTTGAAAAGAAGCGTTGTCGAGGATAAAAATTACGCGGGGTTTTTGAGATGAGGTGGGCAATTGGTTAGCAGCGACGTCATTGTTGATGTTAATGCTGCTATGTGATCGTTTCCTTCGTTAGGGTTTTAGCACATTGACTAATAGACTAAAATCAATGGCGTGTTTATCGTTACCTTTGTTAATATTACCTCCGTTAATTTTTAGTTGAACAAAGGAGTATCTTTTTCAGGGTATTAAAATTTTCATTGTTGTAACTAAAAAGTAAAAATTAATAGAGGTAGTACTATTTTTGGTTATTTTTTTCATTATAAATAATACTTTATATTAATTTCTAAATATTAAGAGGTAAATTTTTGTCAACTTTGACAATGTATGTAAATCTTTTACATAATTATAATACACTTATTTAATCATCGATTCATCGGTATTACCACTATTACAAATTTGGGGTGCTCGAAAGGGCAGAAGGAGATCCTACATCTCTACCTTATTTTCAAAGGTTTTTTCACCATATACTCCTTAAGTAATTTGTTTATTTACCATATACCCATTAAATTTTTTCAAATTCATTGTATACCTTCGAGTTTCACAAAAAAGGCCACCAAATGCCCAAATGACTATAACGGATGTTAACTCCGTTAGTTATTAAGGCTAATTATGCCACATGGCAGCCTCTGATTAGTTCTCTTTTAAATTATTTAATTAATTAATTATGCCACATGACAGCCTTTGATTGTTAGGGGGCGACCACCATCTGAGACCCCATGCTCTCTCCCCTAACCTCTCTCCTCTTGCGCAAACCCAACCCATCCCTCGCTACGGCACCGACACCGCCTTCACCCAACCCATCCCCCTCCCCCACTACAACCTGTGTCACACCCTCTCTACCTAACTCCGTCACCCCCCTTCCCCTTTATAACCACCATCTCGAAACCGTAGATCGAAATCCCTCCACCCTTTGAAACCCTAGATCAAAAACCCCAATCACCCCTCCCTCCACCTTCAAAACCTAGTCGCTAGGGTTTCAAGGGTGGAGGGAGGGTTTTTCGATCTAGGGTTGGCTAGGTTTTGAAGGTGGAGGGAGGGGTTTTCGATCTAGGGTTGGCTAGGTTTTGAAGGTGGGGGAGGGGTTTTCGATCTAGGGTTTCGGGTGGGAGAGAAGTGTTGTGAGTAGGGGGGAAGGGAGGGTTGGGATTTCCGGCGAGGGAGGGGATGGATTTAAGCGCTGACACGAGGGAGGGGATGGGTACCAGCTCGCTAGCAGGGGAAGGCTGGGCTAGTAGGTGGAGGAGTGGGGGGTCTTTTTTAAAAAAAATTATATTTAAGTTTTTTTATTTTTATTTTTGAGAAATTTTATTATTAATTAATAATTTAAACATCAACATATCAGATGTAGCCACGTGGCATAATTAACCCTTATGTCTAACGGTGTTAACCACCATTAGTCATTAAGGACATGATTAAAAACCGTATTTTTAAAGTATATAGTCACTAATTTAGACCATGTTTGGCAAAACTAGCGGTAGTGGGTAGCTTTTAGCGGTCTAGTATCGGGTAGCTGTTAGAGTAGTGAGTAGATGTCAAGTGTCAATTAATAGTGGTAGAGGTTAGCTGTTAATGTAGCAGTTAATATCATGAGTGTTTGACAAAAGTAGCGGTTAAAATGTTAAAATACAGTAAAAATTCAAGTATAATATTTATAAATTAAACAAAATTTATCAAAAGCTATCGGCTGCCTTTCAAATGCTAATATTATTAACGTTTGACAAAAGCTACCTAAAAACACCACATCTACTGCTAACCGTTGCATGAATCACTATCTTACCAAACACACTTATTTTTTTCGCTAATCGCTACCTAAAACGCTACCGTCAAACAGTGTCACAGGCTAACTTGTACAACGTTATACTTATGGCCCAATAAGAACCCAAAAAAAAAAAAAATCGTCCTCCCTATTTTAACGTCTTTAAGTTTTTTAGTTCACTCACACCCTCCTCTCGCTGGAAGCCTACTCCGAAACCTCCATTAAAGCGGCTTCTGAGTTTTTCTATCCTCCATTGAAGCAGCTTCAGAGGTAACATGTTATTTCTAATAATCGAATATCAATTTCACAATACAGTGCTAGTCGTTTCTTTGATTGTCAGTATAGTCAATTCATTAGGGTTCTACTAAGGTGGATCATTGAAGTTATGATCACTGAAATTATGAATGGTTTTTGCGAATTCTTTTTTTACTGCGTGCTATTTACCCGTTGATATTCTTAAGCAAGAAGAATTGTATGTGCATTTCCTAGCCTACTATGATAATTCAGTTAAATTTCGAGCCTGTATGTTTTTTTTCTAGCCTAATATGATAATCCATTCAAATTTCGAGCCTGATCGAATCTACTAGCCAAGTCTTTTATAGGCCATTGAGGTTTTTTTGAGCCCATGATCAAACCCACATGTGCGTGGAAGTATTGTCCCCTATTAAACGAATATGAAAGTGAGGGAGAAGTGTTGGGATGTGTATTCTATATCAAAACAAGAAAGTTGCATTCACTTCATAAAACTAAGAGGCTACTCCCCTCATTGCCATATCACCATATGGTTTTGAAGTGAACATCTTTGGACTTATAAAGTGGACACGTACTCGTGGCAGGTGTGACCTAGACCCTTTTAACAAATTTTGAGGTTTGTCAAGCCAAGCCAAGCATGCCCAAACCCGATTGAGCTCGAGCCGAGCCTACTCCTATAGTAGTACAGTACTATAAACTTTTCTTACAAGGAACCAAAGAAAGGAAAACTAATATGCAATTGTGTTTTTCTTTGAAAAAAAATAATGTTTTTCATCTTTTGTCAAACCAAACAAAGCCTTAATGTTAAAATAGAAAGTTCTCCATATGGTTATGGACTTTTAGTTTTTAATTTCCTGATTTCAGAAAGGAAGGCTATTTGGAGTTTAGGCTGTAAGCCATTGACTGCAAAATTGCAATGCAGTTCTGAATCTTTGCTGCCCCGCTCAACAAAGAAGAAGTTAAATAGGGATGGGGTAGTAGCTATAGGAGACGAGGAAGAGCGTGTTGAAAAAGAGTCAAATTCCATACAACAGCTTAGTCAAGCGACAATGGATGCAGTGAGTGATGAGGAGGAGGTTAATTTTTGTGGCATTCCTTTGATTCGTACTTGTAAGGATGCAGGAGGAGCAAGCGTAACGTTTGTTCTTGAAAGAGCTTCTTTGACCCTTGCTAATGTTGGGAAAGTAAGTGCATTTTCAGACTGATGTACTGTCTTTGCTTTGAGATTAACTAATTAGATTTTGAATTACGAAATTTCTGTTGATAACATACAAGAACTAGTCACTTTATATCTTCCTTTAGAGGTACCAAATACTTTCTTCAGATCATCATGCTGATTATTTACGAAAGAAGAAAATGAATCCTTACATAGTCTATCAGGTTGGTAGGATTTTGTATTCGATGATTTGATCCTTGATTTAGCTGTATTACTGTATATGTACTTTCCATTTGTTGTGTACCTCTGTTGCTCGTGTCTCTAGTCTTTTTATTTGAGTAAATTCCATTTTAATATTTATTTTAAGTCTTTCACCAATCAATCCTTATTGATGATTTTAGGCACTCCAAAAAATTATGGATAGTCGAATTCGTAAGGTTGGTAGGCTGAAAGCACACACATACAGACAGAAGATGGAGTTCTGATTAAAGTAGAACCAAATGTTCAGATACCAGAGCAATTAGAAAGTTTCTGTGATATGATGGGTTTGTTCTTTCCTTCTGAGTGATATTGATGATTTCAGGGTTGTGCAAATTGTGTTCTCATATAAAAGTTTTTCATTTGTTTTTATGTTGTCAAACATGTCTCTTCTGATGAACACTTAACTGCTACAGCTGAATAATTGCAAACACTCCGCATCAAAGCCAAAGGTAGCCATAAACAGGTTCTGCGTGTGGTGGCCAATCCTAAGATAGGTAAGTATATATGGACAAGATCGATACTGCTGGTGAAAATTTGTTTACTTGGGCAATTTGTAAATGCAATATGTTCTGCTGCTTTAGGCCTTTCATTTAGCTCAGAGAAGGTGGTTGAACTACGAGAGTATTTTAGTGGAATCAATAGCGATGAAGATGTTGTGTTTGTGGTAGGTTCAGTTATATGATTTGGCATACTCAT